TTGTCTCCCTATGTAGGAATTACATTTCTTCGAGGTGAGGAGTATTTCATTTTATATATGTACACCAATTTTTTATTATCCATTCATCTGTTGATGCACAACTAGTTTGATTCCAATTCTTTAATACAGTGAATAAATCAACAATAAACATGGAAGTGCTAATATCTCTGTTGTAGGGTATTCAGTTTTCTGCCCTAGAGGTGAAATAGCTAAGTTGTACATACAGTAGTTCTAATTTCTATTTTTTGAGAAATCTCTAAACTGATTTCTACAGTGGCTGTATTATTTTTTTTCCTCAATACAGAGTTTCTCTGTGTGACAGCTCTGGCTGTCCTGGAACTTGCTTTGTAGACCAGACTGGTCTCAAACTCATAGAGATCTACCTGCTTCTGCCTCCCAAGTGCTGGGACTACCACCACCACTCAGCTTATACAAAAACTTTATTTTCATGTAGTCCCATCTGTTGAAACTTAAGATCAGTTCTCATGCTGTTGGTGTTTTATTTTAAAAGTTCTTGCCTACCCCAATATCTTGAAGGGTTCACCTGCATTTTCTTCTAAAAGTTTCAAGTTTTAGATTAGGATCTTTACTCCATTTTGAATTGACTTTTTTTTAAGATTTATTTATTTTGTATACAACATTCTGTCTCCATATATGCCTGCAGACCAGAAGAGGGCACCATATCTCATTATAAATGGTTGTGAGCCACCATGTGGTTGCTGGGAATTGAACTCAGGACCTCTGGAAGAGCAGCCAGTGCTCTTAACCTCCAAGCCATCTCTCCAGCCCTTGAATTGACTTTTATACAAGATTAAAGATAAGACTCTGTTCATTCTCCTTCAGGTAGAAACCCAGTCTTGCCTGCACCAGTTGTTAAGAAGTCTACTCTCTCCCCAGTGTATGCCTTTGCTTCCTTTGTCAAAAATTAAGTGAGCACATCCTTCTCATTTTATTTGAGGTCCTCTATTCTATTTTATTGATCTACCTATCTGATTTTATGCCAGTACCAAGATGTCCTTATCACTATAATTTGAAGACTTGTAATAATTGCCTACAATGTTCTTGTTTGAGTTTTGTTTTTTGAGATAGAGTTCCTCTGTTTAGCTTTGGCTGTCCTGGAACTCACTCTGAAGTGTAGTGTAGTGATATATTACAATTTATTAAAGCTTGCCTGAAGATTGGGAAAGCAAAGTCAGCCACAAGCCATAGAAGCCAGGCACATACCTTTAATCCCAGCAGCCAGAAGCTAGGATGTGGTAGTACACACCTTTAATCCTAGGACTCAGGATTAAGAGGTAGATGGATCTCTGTGAGTTCAAGGCCACCCAGATCTACACAAGAATGATCCAGTCCTAAAGAGAAATAGCTCACAAAAAGATGATCTCAGCACCTGGGATCACACACCTTTAATCCCAGCATTAGGGAGATAATTAAGACAGAAGCAAGGTCTCATATCAGGCATTCATTCTCCAGCCACATTGAGGATAGGAAGACATAAGTCTTCTCCAGCCACCCTGGGGAGAGGCAGCAGGATCAGCCCATTGAGCCTGAGATAATGGTAAGAGCTAGTGGCCCACTACTTTGTTTTTCTAATCTTCAGCTTGAACTTGAACCCCAATGTCAGGGTATTTAATTTTCATGTTACACTGTAGACCAAGCTGATGTCAAACTCACAGAGATCATCTGCTTCTGCCTCCAGAGTGCTGGGATTAAAGGCGTGCACTACCATCACCCAGCTGCCTGCCATGTTCTTATTCCTTAGCATTGTTTTGGCAATTCTTGGTCTTTTGTAATTCTTGTATTACTTTTTTCTAAACCTGTGACATATATCCTAGAATTTTAATAGGTATCACATTAAATCTGTAAATTAATTTTGGTAGTATAGCCATGTTCACAATATTAATTCTACCAATCCAGGAGCATGAAATGTTTTTCCATAATCTAGTATCTTATGATTCCCTTTTTATCATTTTTTAAGATTTTTATTTTGTGTATGGGTGTCTTGCTTTCATGTGCATCTTTGCACCGTGTGCATGTATTACCTGCAGAAGTCCGAAAAGGCTGTCAGATAACCTGGAACTGGGTATTAGTTTCCATGTGGGTGCAAGGAACAGAACACTTTGTTTAGTTGGTTTTGGTTTTTCAAGACAGAGTGTCTCTGTGTAACTGCCCCGCTGTCCTAGGACTCTCTCTATAGACAAGGGTAGCCTTGAACTCACAGAAATCTGCCAGTAGTGCTGCAATTAAAGGTGTGAGCCACCACCACCCGGCAGACGTTAAGAATTGAACCCAGGTCCTCCAAAAAAGCACTGTTCTTAACCTGAGACATTTCTCTAGCTCACTTTTTCAATCTCTTAAAGTTTTTGTTGTACAAGTCTTTCACTGATTTGGTTAGATATATTCCTAAATACTGAATTTTTGAAGTTATTTTGAGTGGAATATTTCTCATTTCTCTGATAGTACATTGGTGGTATGTTTTGCTTTGTTTTGATGCACTTTTTAAAAATTATTTTATGTATATAGGTGGTTTACCTACAAGTATGCCTGTGCAACATGTACGTGCCTGGTGTCCTCGGATGCCCAGAAGAGGGTGTCAGATCCCCTGCAACTGAAGTTATAAATGGTCTTAAGCTGCCATGTGGGGAATTGAACACAGGTTCCAGGTTCCTCTGGAAGAGAGTCAGTACTCTGAGCCATTTCTGTAGCCCCTACTGGGTTTGTTTGCTTGATTTTTTTTTCATTTTTTATTAGAAACAAGCTTCTTTTACATGTCAATCCCAGTTCCCTCTCCCTCCCCTCCTCCCCTGCCTCTCACCCCCCATCCCAACCCCTTTCTGCTTCCCAGGGAGAGTGAGGCCTTCCATGGGGGGTTTCAAAGTCTGTCATGTCATTTGGAGCAGGGCCTATACCCTCCCATGTGTGTCTAGGCTCAGAGAATATCCCTCCATGTGGAGAGGGCTCCCAAAGTTCGTTAGCATACTAGGGATAAATACGTCAGCTGTTTCTGTGGGTTTCTCCTGCCTGGTCTTGAACCCTCTGCTCATCACTCTTCCCTCTGCAACTAGATTCCAGAGTTCAGCTCCATGTTTAGCTGTGGGTGTCTGCTTCTGTTTCCATCAGCTACTGGATGATGTTTGCTTGATTTTTTAAATGGATTTTGTATCCTACAACTTTATTGTGTTTATTATGTCCAATAGTTTTCCAGTAGACTCATTAGGGCCTTTAAAGTAAAGAATTGTGCTACCTGAAAATAGGGACAGTTTGACTTCCTTTCCTATGTTTATCCCTTTTATATCTTTCTCTTGCCTAATTCCTGTAACTAAGACTTTGAGCACTGTATCAAATAAGGGAGAATGGATAGCCTTGTCTCTTTCCCTGTTTTAAAGGGAATGCTCCCTCATATACAGAATTTAGCCAATAATATGTGTATATATGTAAACAAATGTAAATATGGTTGTAGTACAATATGTAGAAAAGAAAACAAGACTATAAATATTAGGGGGATGAAGAATAATCGAATACAGGCAATGGCCACAAGTTATGAAAGAGGATATAAAGCTAATTGTTTTTCTAGTTCTAACTCTGTCATAGATTTTTTGGGTTTGGTGGTGGATACCTGCATAAAAATATATTCGATACTGAAAAAGTAAAATCCAACATAAAGCTACACAGTTTCCCATCCAAATGGCTATTCTAACTGTGTAGAAGTTCATTGTGATGTATAGATGTGGGGGTCTTGCAAATTTTGGCATATGATTTTTTTTAATTTGCAAGTTTTTTATAATAAAGTTTATTTAAAAATTAAGCTACAGTAGTTATTTTTAAAATCACTAAATTAGTAAGTGCACATTAGATTATAGAACTCTAAGGTCTGCTAGCCAAAGTTATACAGGGTTGGGACCAGCAAAACTCAACTCTTATCTTGGTAGATCTCTAGACGGCTGAGATCCCAAACTTGCTCTGGAATTGCTTAAAAGGGGGTCCTGAGTTCCTACAAGGGCTTAAGGTGAGCCTTAGTCACAAAGGTATCTGTGTGGAGAAGCTCTGCCCAGAAAGCTAGCTCCAAAGAGCCAGAAACCAGCCCCCAAGACTAGGACAGTGAATCTGAAACTCATGGTCGAAAAATTCAGTCACTTCGAAGGAACTATGGGAGAGGGCCTGGGACAGGACACAACACACTCATAGCCCTAATCCCTGTACCTTAATGCTTGCATAGTAGTGCACCCACACTGCCAGGTTGGGAGGGTGGGGCTCCAGGTTGCTAAGCAACATAGTCAACAAGCCCAGAGATTCAAAACTGAAGCGTGTTTTCCCACGGAAAAGGTAGAAAGTATGGGGGTGTGAGGACTTGGGGTGGGGAGGCCTGGATGCTGAGCTGGTAGGTGGGTAAGGAGTTAGACAGCTTTAGGGAGAGCACTCAACTTCGTTTCTACCTCTCACCCACAGGAAGTCAGGAGCTGCGGCTAGGTTGGTAATGGTTGCTAGGGTTGGCTTCCTTTCCCACTCTGAGCCATTCCCCCTCTGTCACCTCTTCCCTGGGTTCTGTTCCCCACATCTCTACCCATGAGGAGACAGGCCAGGAGGACAGAGGCTGAGCTTCCCTGTGTATGTATGTGCACCCTTACACACAGATCCAAACACACATATACCTGCAATACCACACATTCACACACACACACTCAAGCAGATTCGTGTACACACTCACAGGGTGGGGTTCTCTGCCCATGAAGGACCATGCCCTTAATCTTACCCCAACCAAAGACCAGGGACTGAGGCACAGAACCAGACCAATCTCTGGAACTTCAGAGTTAGGGGGACACAGAATGACCATAGTAATGTGGGTGGGCTGTGGTACACCAATGGCATACAGGACAATCCATCTGGTTTTATTGCCCTAAACTGTGTAAACTCCTAAAACTGGAGAGGTTTAGAAAGTCATACCCTACTGCAGATATGCACAGGGTCAGCTACCACTTAGGGACCTGAGTTAGGTGGCTATAAGAAGTTCCACAGAAGCACAGCTGGAGCCATAGTGTCCCTCCCTTAGTAATTGGACGACCCCTTTCTTCCACAGACTGAAGCATGCCATCCCAGGGAGTAAAGGGTGCACGGGAGCGGGACAAAAAGAGTGCATCTGGAACTGATGAGAAAGGTATGAAGGGCCGGACTACAGAGCCTCCCAAGGCAGGCTGGGCCTTGACGCAGGAGAGGCTGGCGGCCATGATCCCTACACAACGCCGCCGCTACCTGCTCTTCGGAGACATGCTCGACGACACAGGCGCATCCACTTCCATCTTTCCACGCGAGTCGGTGGAGGTATCCTACTGCATGCCCGACCCGCGCACCTGGACGCAGGCATTGGAACCAGCAGCTGTGCGTCAGAATCGGCTTCTGGGCGTCCTCAAGGCTGCAGAGGCCCGTGGCCGAATCCGCGCCATGAGGTTGCGCTACACCCGAATGCGGGTATGCCAAGGGCCTACCGGGAGGGCCCACCGCGCCGGCGGGAGGAGACAGATGGTGGGTGGCCTCTGGTCAGCTCGCCAGGGTTGCTCAGTAAGCTTGGTTTCCAGGCAGAGGAAATCACGCTCCTGATCCGGAGTCAGGGCTCTGCGCGCGCCGCCATCCGGCTGGAACTATTCCTACCACCCCAACTGAAGCCCACGAAGATCCCCGATCCTCTGGACCGTCAAGAGGTGCCGGAAAACCCGGAGACGGGTGGGAGGGCCCGTATCTCGCCACACATTGACCCCAGCCCCTTTTCTCCGCAGCGGAGGCGTGTAGAGACGATCCTGGAAGAGGCGGTAGATGGCCTCATGGTAGATGGCGGCATCTTCTCGCGATGACCGTGACCTTGGCCTACAGAAACCTCGGATTACAGTGGCTCCCCACCCTCTCACATAAAATTCTCTTTGGAGGGTTCTCTGGTCTTTCCCCTCTTTTTTCCCTGGGCTCCCGCAGGGAAGGGCAAACATGGATGCTGCCTCTCTCACAGCCACAGTCACAGACATCAGGGCACAAGAGATGGACTCTCCAAAGTAGGGAAATGTCGGTGGGTGGACACTCCTATCTCCAAACCACCTGCCCCCATCAGGTAATGGGTGCCCTTCAAAGCCACAGATGCGGGGAGGGCGTGAACTAGTGTGGAAAAGAATAGGGATGAATGAGCCTGCCTAGACACCAGCACCCACAAAAATCAGGGCTGTCTCCTAAATTAGGATCATTCCATCTGAAGACTGGGGTGGCATTCTGGGAGAGGGAATAAGCTCACCTTTGGAGAGTCCAGTCATGCCCAGAGGACCACCAGGTTGTGAACAGGGTGCTCCTCACCAAGGTCCCTGGATGGTGGGACAGAAGACTCACCCACAGCCTCCCTTTCATCAGAAACAGCCTCCTGTGCTCACTCATCCACCAAATATGGAGCACAGGAAGTAAGCCACTCATCCCGTTCTGACCACTAGACTCTGAAAAGCCCCCGGTTTCTGGGAGGCTCTTCTTCCTCTTCTCCACAGCATGGGTTCTTTGCAGAACCTGTGGTCTCTTGCCCTTCAGTCCTTTGGCCTTGTCCTTCTTCTTAGTCCCTACCCAGCAGGCTGGACAGAGGCAGAAACTATGGGGAGGTACACAGCTCCCTGTCCCTGCATGGGAGCTCCCCCTGGCTCTTCATGGAACAGAGAACAGAAAGGAAGAAGAGATCAAAACTGTGGTCCAGAAAGCTCTTACTCACTGATGGCCAGTTCCCAGGGCTCTGTTTCCTCAGCTGGTCTTCTCCCCCTGCGCATGACCCTTCTCACTTTCTGGCCTGTTGCTGCCCTGGGCCTTGATCCAAACCCAGATGGGAGCACTCACAAATCAGCAGCAGCTCTTAGGAGGAGGGGAGGGGGTTTCAGGCAATGGGGAGGATGGCAGAGCAGGGAAATGGTAGGTTTGGACATGGGTGTAGACAGGGAAAAGGAGACAGTCTCTTCATCCAGGAATGATGGTCACACACACCCAGATTGTAGTCTTCTAATGACAGTCAATTACACCAGATGATAGCCAATGCTGGGCTCCTCTGGTCAAGCTCCTTGTAGAGGAGCTTGCCAAGGATTTGCCAAGAGCCTAGAAAAACTTCATCTATTTAGTAAAGTCACTTTTCCAACCCTGCATTTCTTCATGGTGATCACAGAGATGTCTAAGATTACCGCAGTGTCCCACATAGTGAGTAATTCAGATAAGTACCTCAGAGCAGAGGGCTGAGGACACACACACCAACATCCTGAGAAGGCCAGCATAACAATGGCAAAAGAGCTCTACACCAAGTGTCAGACCAGCTTAAGAGTGCCACTTGATCTCCACATCAGTGAGGGATTGGGTTTACAGAGTAGGCTAAGGAAGGTGGCACAGGATCCCTCTGTCTGAAGAAAATCCAACGAGGATACAAAGCCTGTGGCCCATGCACAGTTAAGTGGGGCTTATGAGTGGCTGGTGCCGGGGTGGGGGGGTGGGGCTGGGAGTAGGGGTCCTGCTCTAGAAAAGGGTAAATTGTGTTAAAGTTCCATCCTCACTAGTGTCACTTGCTCAGTGCTCCTGGTCTCCTGCCTAGATTTAGGGGCATTCTCTGTGCTTAAAGATGCTAATTGAGTATAGAACAGATGTAAGGTAGCAGAGAACAAGTGGGTAGGCATGTAAAATGAACTGAGGGGAAGAACGCATACTGACTTCTACCCACAGCCAGTTGCCCACACCAAATACTGCAGAATCAGCTTTGTTTTGTTGTCTCCACCTGGTATTGACCCATTTCTACTGGGCCTCCTTATTCTAAACTGTGTCCACTTCTCAGGACTATTATCTAAAGCAACTACTACTGTTTAGATGGGCTTCTTAGCCTCTACCTTGCTTTGGAATCCATCAGGTGGCAGCTAAAGGGTTCTGGCTTTTTTCATCAAGCCCCACACAGCATTAGAGAAAGCCTGGTAGCCTCAGGCTCTCAACCAATGTTCTCTCTTCATCCAGACTCCCTGAACATCATGGCAACATCCTGCCCTCCTCACCTCTCACCCCATCCCTTTTGGGCCTGTCTCCCATTCTAGTCCACTGCAGTTAGCTCCAGGTCAGTCTGTCTGCCTGGGACCCGCTGCCTCAAGAGTGGGTATTTGCTTTGCACCTCTAACTTCTGTGGTCAGCATATACAACCTGTGCGATTAAAAAGTTTTTTTTTTTTTTTTTTTTTTTTTTTCAAAGACCCTAGCACCTGAACTGGTTAGGCTGTGTTCCAGTGCTAAGAAGGGCAGGAACCGCATGGCCCAAGCAACCACACACACCCTACAAACCAAGTCTAAAGTAGGGTCAGGGCCCCTGGACACTTGCCCAGAGCATGCTGGGATAATGAGCTAATTCAAATCTGCACCCAATAATAAAGGATCTGAAGAGCTGGCCAAAGAGTAAGGCCATTTGCAGAAAAGGCTATCTTGGAGCAATTTGAGGGGTCAATAGGGAGGGACTCAACTAGGCCCCAGAAACTTTCGGGGTAATTTGATATAAGAACCTGCATTCACAGTGCCCACCAAGCTGCAGTTCCTGAATCTCCCTTTCTCTGTGGACAGCAGAGTGACAGACCAGACTCAGAAATGCGAAGGGGTGGGGCGGACAGGGCAGTACAACAGGCCAGTCCTTCCCAAAGGCCTCTTCTCATCCTGCCAAGAAGCACACTGGGCTCAGCTCTGGTGCCCCACACTGCACTACCACAGAAAGGAAAGGCTGGGAAAACCTAGCTAACCAGACGGAGCGCCGGCTCAATCCACTGTCTGTGTACGACTCACCCCTCAGGGTCACCATGCCACGCTACCGCAGGACGACACGCCAGCGCGGGTGGGGCGCGGGAGCGGGCGCGGGGCGGGGCACTGCGGGCGAGCAGGCGCTGGGGCTCGAGGAAGTCCCGGCCCCTCTCTTTGGGGAAGTACCGTGGAGGCGCCTGCGCACTGCGCCTGCGCCCCCTCCCCGGCGACAAGCAGGACTTCGGATCGCGCGGGCGCTGTGACTCGGGGACTCTGCGGTGAGTGCGGCGCTGGACCGCGGGCGGGCCCCGGAGATGTAGATGCCGGCTCTGTTCCCGGACTTCAGCGACCAGCCCACGTGGACCTGGGTCGCGGTGGGACCGGAGCCCACCCCCTGCGCGTGGGGGAGGGAGAGCCGCAGCAAGGTTCCCCTTTTTCTTCAGCTCAGAGCTTTGAGAAGTAATTGCTAAAGGTGGGGGCCGGAAGAACCCAGGTTTCCGTGTCTCCCGCCCGCTAGCCTAGTGGGGAGGGGCCAGGCCAGACACCGATCCACCACCTTACCCACCCTTCGAGTTGGGTCCACTAGCCACTCGGCCCGGCGAGCCTTAGGGGTGAATGTTGCGCCCCCTCCACAGCCCCACCCGAGAGGGATTCTGTGCGCCTTCCTATCTCGCGAATACCCAGGAGTACATCTTGCTGTCTGACTTAAGTCCCTGCTGCTTTAGAGCACGCCCCTTCGGCAGCCAGGGTGGGGCCCAGACCGAACCTGGCCCTCCCGCCCCCATCCGCCTTTAGGTCGCTGGTGAGTGGGGCCTCATGGCGAATTCCTTAAGAAAGGGGTGGGGGCGTCAGAGACTGCGAGAGGGACCGCGAAGAAGAGACCAGCCCTCCAGACGACCCCACCAGCAGAAAGCAGTAACTGGGTGGGGGCCTACCATCCCACAGGTGGGCTTGGGCAGCGGGGTTCGCCATGGTGAGAGAGGTCTGGCCCGCCATGGAGGTACAGGTAGGACAATGACAGTGTGGGATGGAAGTGGGAATGGAACCCCTGTTACCCCCCCCCAAAGGTTCTTTTCTTTTCTTTCTTTTTTTTTTTTTTTTTTTTTTTTTTTTTTTTGGACTGGTCGGGCTTGAACATTTTCTTCTGTGGAGCAACACGGCAGCCATTCCCCAGGGAGCTTCTGTCCCCAGAGACCAGATTTGCTGCATTTGGTCTCAGCATAGACTTGGGAGGCCAACGCCTGGGAGGCTTGGGGAGGGAATGAGCCATCCAGTATCCGGAGATGGGGCAGGAAAACCCTAATTCAGATGCTGGGCTCCCCTTCCCTAGAAAGAAGGGAGGCGGTAGTCAAGAGCACTCTGGACGACATGGGTGGTCCCAACCGACCTTTGATGGGTGCAAGGAGCCAGGACAAGAGCCTGCAGCTGGGGAAAATGGCAGACACCTGCGTCTGCACAAACTGGACCCCAGCATCCAGGCCCCACACACCCCAGGCTGTTCCCTGTCCAGTCAGCTGGTTGGAGATGGAGCATCTGAGGGATGGTCTGCAGGGTGATGACTCTGGAGAGCCTAGAGACCTTAGGCTACTACACCCCTTCCTTTCCCTAGAAGCTCCACCCCAGGGAAGTACAGCCCAAGCTACTTTTGTGTCCTGGTTTGCACGCTGGGAGACTTGGGAACCCACCATCTCAGAAATCGAGCCAGGTGGTGGGGCTGCCCTCAGTGTACAGACCTCAGGCAGAAGAGGATAAAGGGCCTCCCTCTGCTGGATTCAGGGCTACAGGAGGGTGGATTTCATCGACAAAGTAACGTGAGCCCCAGGTTAATGTGAGGAAGGTGGGCAGAGCAGAGATCTTAAGGCCTGGATAGCCTAGCCTCCACCTGGTCAGAAATGGGCACAGGCTGGGGAGAGAGGAGGCATTCAAAACTGCTGCCAGGGTGCTAATTGGATGCTTTGCTTCTGTTTTTCCTGGGGACACTGGAATTTGAAGTCAGCTTTCAGAGGCCTGAGAGGTTCCTAGAACCCCCTGTGAAGGTGTGGTCCAAACATCAAGAATGATAAATCATATGAAAACCCATTGAAGAGCCCAAGGCTCCAGCTAAGCAGCTGATCCTCCCACATTGCCACCCCAGCTTCCATGGCTAGCACTCCCTGCTTCTGCATCCTCAGGAGAAAAAGGGAAACCAGGGTGAAGTGGGGGTGTCTGACGCAGCCAAGGACCTAAGAGCCTTGTTACCTAAGTACACATCTCTCGAGTAACCCCCCACCTCCATTCCTCACTTTCAGGAAGTCTTGTTCTGAATTCTACTCAAGTACTCTGGTGCCTCAGACCTAGCCCTCTGCAGTCATCTGGGTAGCATGTCTACCCACCTACCTAGAGGGAGGGAGCCATCAGAGTATCCTACCATCTCCATACCAGCCTGTAGCTCCAGTCCCCTTAGGAGGGGCCAGGAGCCGGAAGCCAAGAAAGAGGAACCCAGGCTTCCGGCTTCTTGGGGACTGAGTAGATGGGGGTATCTTAGAGCCCTTTGTGGGAGGCCCAACTGCAGTAGCCCCATCATTGCCTGGGGCACTTCCATATGGGGTTAGCACACAGACTTGGGGTAGAGCTCTGAGCAAGCTCCCTCTGAGGGACCTGAGGTGGTTGCAGAGGTTACAAGGTGGGCCCAGGTCACAGGCCCTCAGTCAGAACTCCCAACACTCTTCTCAGATCCAAGCTCCCAGACTGCAGTGAAGGTCCAGAGCTGGCACCACAGAATCTGTGCAACCCTCTCCACCCACACATGCCCACCCCACATGAGGCGGAGAAACAGGTAGGCACTTCCTCCCTCTAATTGGGTTCCTGGACACCTGAGGCCCTTGGGGGCACAGCCAGTTGGGCAGATGGGCAGACATAGGGTCCAGTGAATTCTGGAATGGAGGTTGAGGCAGCCCCCTCTTCCTCAGCACACAGGACCAGAGGAGGCGGACAGGCCCCCCTCGATGTCCAGCCATGATGCAGCCCCCTCAGGACCCCCCAGTCGCAACCCCTGCTGCTTATGCTGGTGCTGCTGCTGCAGCTGCTCCTGGTATGTGGACCTTAAGGGTGCAGCTTATACTGGGAAGAAGACCCCAGGGCATTTGGGCAGGGGTACATGGCTCAAAGAGGGCAAAACCAGAGTATATAGGCCTGGGGGTACATGGTATATGGGCCTGGGGAGCAGCTCATAGAAGAGATACAGAAGCACTGAGGCATATAGGGGTGGGATGGGGTGGATTTTAGGACTCAGACCCAGTCCTGTTCCCTAGACCCTCCACAGGCTAAGAAGAAACTACTTGTAGACAGGTGCCTCTGCCACAGCATCACCCTGTCCAGAGATTGCTGAGAGCCCTGTTGGCTGGTAGTAGTGCCCACATCCTCTAAGGGGCTTTATATGGCTCTTAAACTTTGTGTGTATGAATGTTTTGCCTGAATATGTGTGCCACATGCATACCTGGAGAGGCCAGAAGGTGTTGGAACTGGAGTTACAAATGGTTGAGAGCCAACATATAGGTCCTGAGAACCAAATGCTCTTAAACACTGAGCAATCTCTCAGACCCCTTTGTGTGGCTCTTAAACCTGGTGTGCTGGGGCATACTATATGCAAGAGCCAAGCAAACGGCATGCATATGGTGCCCATGCACTCACCATATACCGGTTTATACAATTGAGATCTGTCCAGACCAGAGACTTGGATAAAGGAACAACTGGCCCTGGGCAGAAAGGCATTTAAGGTTTGGGGGTGTCTAATGGCAGGAGTAGAGAAAAATGGTAGAAGTTTTCTACTTTACTACAATCTGGCACTACACAGACTAAGGGATCTATTGAACAGCAAGTCACCCAGACCAGGGTAAGGCAAGATTCGAGGAATGAAATGTGAATAGGTAGGGCTCAATGGAAGTTTGAGCTGTACTGTTGCTGAGAAGCCAAGCCTGGTAGGAACTGAATTGTCTCCACACCTGTGGGAATGAGTGTTCATTGTGCCAGCTGAACATAGACCTGACAGGGAGAAGTTTCCCTTGGAAGCAGGATCCAGGATCAGACAGGTATAAACACATTGGAGGGGCTCTTACCCTACATTGACCAATGAGTCATATTGCTGACATTAGGCCTGAAGTGTGGGGTTTTCAGTGGCCTTAGGGATGAGCTCCAACTAGACTGAGGAGTATGGTTCTATCCAGCAGTACAAAGAGAGGGAGGGATACCAGGAACCAGAAGAGTCCAACTGCTGACCAGAAAAGAGGCTTCAGTGAGAGAACAAGAGGATGTGAAGAAGGCTTACCCTAGGAGCTTCCTTACAACAGACTTACTGGTGTAGGCACTAACATGACAAAACATACATATAGCCACAGTGATGTGTAGAGAACCCAACTGCATAAGGTAGTACTTTCCTTTGCCACTAGGAACCAAGAACGTCAGCGAGCTTGGCAGGCTTCTCGGGAAAGCAAACTGCAACCCCTCCCCAGCTGTGAAGCTTGGTGAGTACAGCAGCCATTGTGTGTGCAAGCATGTATGTGTACTTGTGTGCATGACTGAAGTCTGATATAGTCTGGCCCTAATGCTTGCAGCACTCCACCAAGCCCTGAGGAAGTACAAAGCTGGGCACAGTCCTTTGACAAGTTGATGCATAGCCCCACGGGCCGCAGTGTGTTCCGGGCATTCCTGCGCACAGAATACAGTGAAGAGAACATGCTCTTCTGGCTGGCCTGTGAGGAGTTGAAAGCAGAGGCCAATCAACATGTGGTGGATGAGAAGGCACGACTTATCTATGAGGACTACGTGTCCATCCTGTCCCCCAAGGAGGTGCGCCAGATGCAGGGATAAATGGGGGTTGGCCTGGGAAGGGCACTGCCCCACCCCCTGACCTTGGTGCCTGCCACACAGGTGAGCCTGGACTCCCGTGTGCGAGAAGGCATCAATAGGAAGATGCAAGAGCCATCACCCCACACATTTGATGATGCACAGCTGCAGATCTACACCCTCATGCACCGGGACTCCTACCCTCGCTTCCTCACCTCTCCTGCCTATCGTTCTCTACTACTCCAGGGGGCTCCACAGTCCTCCTCTGAGGCCTAGGTGCTTGCCACACAGATGTTCTACTCCTACAGGCAGACTAGGGGCTAACCCTGCCCCATTTGGTTGGAAGTAGATTCAGTCCCAATGGCAACTGCAATGTTCTGCTCTGCCCTATCCTGCTCCAACTGGGGGTTCTCCTAGATGGTGCCTCAGACCCCCCCCCCCCCCCCCCGCACAGCCTCTGCCAACAGGTTTGTAGCAGGAGAACTGTTTATTCCTCAGACCAGATGTAGGACCTCAGAGTCAGGCTCAAATAAAGAGCCCATTTATATTTTATATGTTAGTGAACTTTAAAATTGGAAATATGTCCTTATTGTACATTTTATCAAAAGAAAAGAGAAGGCTTTCACATTCACCTCTATTCCCTCACATGCCAAAAACATAATATAGTATTCTTGACCTTTTAAAAATAAGTTTCCGTTTATCCCACAATTGGAGTAGGAAGTTGGAGAAGAAGCTCATCCATCCGGACTCTACCCTGTGCCCTGCCCCATAACAGTGGCCTTAGTAGGTAACTATTCTGAGCCCTGCCCAAGGTATGGCTCTAGGAACTGGCCTCAACTCTTAAATGGGTCAGCATCCCACAAAGGCTTGAGATGCAACTGAAGATTATCCCAAACCCTTGTATACTTGGTGAAATGTCTTCCTAGAGGCTAGGAGGGACAAAGCTGATGATGTGGCCTCCTCAGAGTAGCTAGGCACAATGTCATTTTCATCTTAGGAGTCCAATAAAGCAAAGCACCCACTACTTTGATCCTCCAAGTTGCTGGGAGTTTCAGCAATTTGAAGCTAGAATTGATCTCAGTCCAGAGACCATCCTCCCCCATGTGGTGAGCAGAGTGAAGGACTGAGCAAAATATCCTGAAAGGACACCAGGTCCTTGGACTGCCATGTCTAGTGAGGAGGGGTGAACACTGGGCAAGGTCCTGTTCTAACAAGTCTCATATGCCACTGCCCATACAGCCAGCATGGTAGGACACATATAAGCAGTATATCCTAGAATCACATGTCAAGTGATCTCTCTGGAAAACAGACATGCTCTTGCCTATATTGCCCTACCACAACTTAGTTCAAGTGTTGTCTGAGCCCAGGGAGGAGAGGTGTTTAAAGGAATGGAAGAACAAGACCCAACTGAAGCCTGTGTATAGCTCACCAGGAGCAGAGCCAGAGAAAGGCAAAAGAAAACATTTAATGAGAGACAAAGGGCAAAAAGGTGCATGGCAGGCAGGCAGACTGGGACAGAGCATGCCACCTTCTGGGGATCTCCAGAGAAGCTGTGTCCACCAAGAACATTGCAGGAGGGGGCAATGCTAGCCATGGCCAGGACAACACATCAGTACAAGGGATCAGCAGAACTGCAGGAAGGCAGAGAATATCTGACCAAGGCCCCACATGACCCCTAGGGCAGAAATGGGACAGGCATGGGGCTCCATCCCAGAGACTCCCAGGAGGCTAGCTGGGTACAGTGGGCCCTGGTTCCTACTTAAGGTCCAATATGTGCTGAGACAGGACTGGAGGTGAGCATTCTGGGCCCACCCACCTACCTTCCAGCGGTTCCCACACTCGTTGCAGACAACATAAGTGGTCATGGGCTCATCGGAGCTGCGGGTCTGCACCTGTAGGGTGGGTGGCTGAATCCCTGGTTTTGCTGCCCTGATCTGGACAGTCCTGGTTTCATACCCCCTGATCTCTACTGATGACTTGATTTGAAACTTCCCAGTGACCTCTCAACCTTCTAGAACTGGGCCTGTGGAGGAGGTGGATCACCACAAGAGACTTTTGTGGGCCTGAACAACTGGGATCAGTAGAGTAGAATGTTGGATAAGTGCAAGATTCCCAACAAGAGGGTCTATATAGTGACCCTCTATAGAGTCAGCAGAGATGCCAGTGGCCCTGGCCATCTAGGAGACCCAAGGAAAAAACCTTACTTCACAGAGCTAGGGCCAGTCCTTACAGGTAGTGAGGACTGAGTGGCCCTGCCCCTCATGCCCTATTATAGATGATGACAGCTTCCACAAGCCCTGGAACAGTCTACCAGAGAGACCATCTTAATCCACTCCCCTCTTGGAGTCTACATGGTCTCCCCAGAATACTTCAGCCTCTACCTCCACAGCAGGGTCTGAAGGTAACTACAGACACTAACAAACAATACTACACTCCTGTCTCTCCATGCTGGTCAGGGCCAAGCCACCTAGCCCTGGCACAGGTCCCCAGACCAGCAGAAGTAGGGACATAGGTGGTATCCAAGAAGAGGATGGGTATACCCTGAGGTCCCAGCCAAGGAAGATAGAGTGGACCCCAACCTGCGTGTAGGTGCAGTTCTTCTTCTTGCACTTGCTGCAGGTGAACAGGTCAGTCTGTGTGCCACCTGTGCGGGCCATCTGATGCTCACGGATGGCCTCCTTGGTCATGGCCTTGCGGATCTCCTTCAGCTCATCACTGGCCATCTCCTGATAAAGGGGCCAAGTGTTCAGCCTGCAACTCTGCAGAAACAGCCTGCCCCAGCCCTTCCCAGTGGGGCTCACCTCTGATGTCATCACAGCTATCTGCTGGGGTGTAATGGCACCACACAGCACGTTTCGCCGCAGGCCAGGGTTCTTGGCATCTTTCAGGTTGGAGATCCGGCTCCGCACGCGGTTCTTGTACTTCATATCTGTGTTTCCCACATCCAGGAAGATGCGTAAGGGTATTTAAGGACCCATCTGAGGTTTCTGAGCTCCATCCCCTCCTTGGAGTCACATGAGAAATGTTCTTCCCAGCAACATGGAGATGAGTTTACCCACCCAAGCCCTTTGGAGGAACTGAGGGGCCATCATATTGTGCTTTCTCTAAACCCATTCCTGTTTGAGGCCCAGATCTATCAAGTAGTCACAGCCCCTTACCCATCTATGGCCCAGGAAAGGTCAGGGGATCACCCCAAGAGGGCACTGGATAACCTACCAGTGTTATCTAACAGCTACTGGAGAAGCACAACTCTGGCCTACAGACTCTACCAGAAGCCTTTAACCCTGTATACACTGTGTAAAGGATATACTCCTCGATCTGAGCTGACAGATGCTCGCAGTCTACACCAACAGCCTTGTGGTCGTCTGCAAGAGGGAGCCCTCATTAGTTTCCCCCACTGGCTTTTTCCACCTGCCACTCCTCTGCTTGCACAGCACCCCAGAAGCTAAATAGGTCACTTCATTCCTGGGAAACAGTTCCCAAGATACAGGTGTTCTGGAGACCCCAAAACCCAAGCCTCCTCCCTAGGTCACAGTAGGGAATGTGACTAAAGAGAAGATCTGTGCTGGTGGCGCATGCCTTTAATCCTAGCACTCGGAAGGCAGAGGCGGTGGATCTCTGTGAGTTTGAGGCCAGCCTGGTCTACAAAGCAAGTTCCAGGATAGCCAGAGCTGTTAACAGAGAAACCCTGTCTCAAAAAAACAAGAGAGAGAGTATGTTACCTCTCTGACAGCAACCTTTAAAGCAGGCAGAGGCCCAGGCCACCCTAGGAATCTGGACGAGTATTAAAATCAGAGCTTGTAGTACTCACGGTCCGTTTGCAGGGCCAAAGTCAGCATTTCACGGCATTTGTTTCGTACAGCATCACAGGTGATGGGAACTGAGGGAAATGTGGTGATCCTCGGAGTGGATAAGGTCCTAGGTGGGTCTGGCTTCTTGCAGCTAGAGAGACAAAGCCTACTGGGCTCAGACTGAGCCTGTTAAGCTAAGTTATGCATCTTCATTAGCTGTTGTACACCACTGGGAGGCCACCCAGTGCACTCTCTGGGTGATCCCCTGGCCTTTCCTGAGCCACAGGTGATTCCCCAGAAAAGCAAACATGGACACCACACTGACCTCCAAAGCCCGTTTGCTCTATCCTGACAGACCCCCAGCTAGACCCAATGACTTCATTCATCCATAGTTCAGCCTAGAATGCCTGTGTGCTCAGGCTTCCTTATCAGAGAAAGGCATTGGCCACAAGGTCCACAGTGAACCACAAATCACTCCCCAAGTGGATGCCAGATCCTTCCTCAACAATCAGTGTCTCAATAAAATGCTCCCTAGTCAAAGGGGGCTGAGATATTCTTGCTAGCTTCAGAGTGTCTGCTTCCCAAGAGACCCAAAACATGGACCATGCTGTGAATACCTCTCTGCTAATGGCAGAAACAGGCAGGTACTTCTGGAGTAAAGATGAAGTGGGAGATCACCCAAAGTCAAGTCTTATCACAGGTGACCCCACTCAACACAAATGAAATTGGGCAAGGATCTCAGGTTTGGGCCCAATAAAAGACTTGCCTACCAGTCATCCTATCTACCCACCAGGCCCTTTCCTCTGGAAATCAGCAGCATCAGGTGGCTTTCTGGGGCAAGATCCACTGTATAAGCATGCTAATGAGCTCAGGACATGACATCATATCAGGACTGCAAGGCTGGAGTCCAGAGCATAGGCTATTGTAGCCTGGTCTCAGCCTCTGGCCACTGCTACCACCTGATCAAAGGAGCCTCTCATCCATAACCTGTAACTAGCAGTGCCCCTAGTCTCCATGGTAACAGGTTTTCCCTGACCACCTTTTAGGCAATGGTATGACAACACTTGAATGTGGAGATCTGAGCTGTGCCCACCTATAGCTCTGGCTAGCATTGCATGAGTGACCCATTCATCAATCCTGCTGAGCAGCAAAAAGATAGGGTCTAAGTAAACAGGCAAGGAGGCCTGGGGCTGGGCCAGATCCTGATGGGTAGCCCCTTCTTACTGAATGTCTCAGTGATGACACTGACAGCCAAGCAGACTCAGCCAGACATCTTAGATGGGCAAGAAGGGAACTGAGCAGTGGGACAGTATCCAACATGAGGCTGACTAACCTTACAAATGGTGACCTAGAAAGGGCCTCTCCCTCAGAGCAGTGCCCAGGCAAATAGACATCAGCCTTCTTTTCCTACTGAGGCAAGAGGCAGAAATGTATATACCTGCCATCAGATATGCTACCTGAGATCCGTAGTCCCTGAGGTATCCTTTGAGGATGATGTGGGCAGAGGTGTGCCCCTCCCTTGATCCCTGGTCTTGCCATCAGAAACATCTGTCATTATCAGAAAACAGATGGTATAGACTGGTCAGGAGCAGGTAGCCAGGTGCCAGCTCAGCCTCAGCCTGGCCATTATCCCTACTGCTCAAAGCCATTAGATAAGCAAGGTGCCAGGAGGCCACCAGACCTTCCTCCCAGTCCCCAGCAAGCCCACCAGCCTCTTCAGGACCCACCCTCCTCAAGCCCCCACTCAAGCAAGCTGCTGAGGGACTCTTCAGGTCCAACCTGGCCAGAAAACAAGCAAATGCCTCATAAAAGTCTCCTTCGGAAAACATGGGCCTTGCCCAAAACCTGTACTGGGGATCAGGACAAACTAACCCTGAGGCTTCTTGATGGCCATGTGACTATAAGGAGGGACAGATCCTGGGTTGTCTCACAGAGGTGTAGACAGAGCCCAGGAATGGTTGCCGCCCTAATCAATGGGAGCATCTCTGCAGCCTAGTTGTCCACTGTCCCCACAAACAGATGCTGTCTGCCTAGCTTACCTCTTGCAGAGGTAGCAGCCCCACCTCCTCCTCCTTCATCTGGAGCATGCTGACCTGGACCTCCTTTTCTGTTGACCTCCCGCAGCTTGAAAATCTCCTCCCCAGCATATACACTTGTCTCAATGGTCACGCCTCCCAGGCCATCCCCTCCCCATCACAACAGATGACATCATCTTCCATCATCCTCATCCACTTCCAGACCAGGGATGAGTACTCTCTGGCCTGTTTTTTGTATCCCACAACCAGAGAGCCTGAGTAAGAGCAGCAGAGTCATCACTCTATGCTGTGCTGAGCAGCAAGAGCCACCCTTCACATTCTGACCCGTACCCAAGAGCTTCTTCCAGGACTTGATGAGGGATTTGGCCAGTGCAATGAGCTCTTCATCTGAGCTCTGCTTCCGCAGGGCATTGACAGACATCCCAACACGGGTGGACTGCAAGGCAAGTGGCTTGGGTCAGAGGTGGTAGGGACCTGTTCCAGAGGCAGATCGTCACTTGGCTCCCACAGGGAAGGGCTGGGGAATGGGCAGGGACAGAAAGACCTCTCTCCCCAATGGCTATGATCTCACTTGGAACCCAGAGGGCCCCCTCCCACTTCAATGATCACCAGAGAGAATCAGAAGCCCTCTCCTTAGAGCAGTTGTTTATGCCAACTAAGCCTTGTATGAGTCATATAAGGAACTCTGCTAGATGTTCTTGGTTACTGTCTCTGGAATCATCTTATACCAGAAGCAGAAGAGCTTACCTGGAGCAGGTGTAATGTAACAGGCATGGCCTTCAGCTCCCGAAGCAAATCCATGGCTCCCTCCTGGAAGGAAAGAGGACCTTCATAAAAGACTAAACCTTAGTGGATCTTCCTGATCATATGGGGGGACAATTTACATGTCAGAAAGAAGCCACTCCTCTACCTTGAGAAGACCAGAGCACTGCACACACTACCACAACAGCGGCTTTTTACTGCCCCTGCACTAGGGCAAGACTAGAGACAAACAGCTTAATAGTGCTCTCCTCAAAGATCAGGTGGTTTCTCACCCTGCATCTGTGGTGACCTCCAGACCTCATGGTAACCACACCAGGTCACTGAGCAAACTACTAGAGAAAAAAATCCCAGTTTCTGCTCAACATGGAAGGACACTCAAGAGATATAACTCAGGTTCCTTAGACTTAGTCCATCTATGCCTTTCCTCAAAGTGCTCATCCATCAGTGTAGCACTTCTCCTGGGTACTGTAACAGACAACCCTGATTTTCTGCCTCTGCCCAAGCTCTATTCTTCAGTATCTACAGACAGGCTGCACCTCAAAGGCAGGCTCCTCCTATTCCTACCTTAAAACCCTCACTCTGCCTAAGACTGCTCTTCTCCCTAGCACTTCGAAGCTTTATTCAGGCACCTCCTTCCCACAGCTGACAGACTCTTCCAACATCGGACACTATTGCAATTGCTTTTCTCCAGGTTACCACTATGAACTCATGTGTCTTTACATGCCTCAAAGAGGCAGAGAAAACCCATCCAGCCCTTCAAACCTTCCACAGTAGAGACAGTGGGAGAGCCTGGGGCTGACCTCCAATCTATGTTAATTATCTGCTCAGACTGCAGCCTTGTTTCATGGCCCTAAAGCAGATCCTGCTGAGAAGACCTGATCCTTGGAGCCAGGGGAACTCATCCCCAACAGCTCTGTACTCCCACCCAGAAGGCCCGAACAAATCACCAGCAGCTCCAAGGAGCCTCTCAGGTTGCTGCTACCTCCCAGAACTTCTGCCGTTTCCCTTCTCCACTATAGAGTCCTGTCTGTGGCCTTCCACTCTTGCTGTGTCTCTGCCAGTTTCCAAGCCCCTGTAGATTCCCACCCCATCTCTGCCACCCTCAGTTCCAATTTTGTCATTTGGGTTTAACACCCTTAGAGGAAAGAAGCACCAGCAGGCCTCTGCACCCGTTATTACAGAATGTGGCTGTTTGGGGCATAAAGGGGAACCTAACTCTCTTCCGGATTTAGCCCCCCAACCCTGGCCAACAGGAACCCAGGACAATCCTGCTGGTCCTCAAAAGCTGTCCTGCAGCCCTCCACTTCAAGCACAGTTATGGGGAGGCTATACAGACTCATGACTCAGCCCCCATCTGTGCTGCCCTGGGATTGGTGCCGCGGATGGGCGGGTCATACTTAGCCTTAAGGCCACCTCCTGGTCCCTTCCCACCCACGGAAGGCAAGATGCAGGCAGGTGCCATCATTCCCTAAGGATGCTCCCGAAAGGTTACAAGGGTGGCCAGGGTAGGAAGGCAGGCTAGACTGTAGGCCAAGCCCACAGTGCCTTGGGGCAAGGTGAGGGGCAGAGTCGGTCTCCTAGGGTCTCAAGGACACAGGTTCATTTCGAAATCTACAGTCTGGCCACATCGACTTGCTGCTGCCTGAGGCTTGACTAAACAGGAAGGGAAATTTATTAAAGAAACCTAGTTCTGAAGGGTGGGGGCAGACATGGGAGACAACGGCTGGGCTAAGAACGCCCGCGACCACCGCTGGGCGAGGGGGCAGTGGGCGGCTCCCAAGTCAGCTTGGCGTCCAGTGCGAAGCGGCAGTCCCACGGTAGAGGGCGGGCCTGGGGCCGGGATCTCAACTAGTCTGAGTATCATTCTCCCCGAGGGTGGGTTCAGCCGGTTTCCACGGAGCGGGGGCCCCAGGGTCCTGGCGGCCCGCGCCCCTCACCGCGCTCTTCCTGGTCACCATCTTGTCCAGCCTCCGGGCGATCCGCGCAATCTCCTCCTCCTTGCCCATCACCACCTCGGTGGCGGCGGGGTGCGCCGGGGGCGCCCC